TTTTTCATATCTCCATGAAGTCCACCTGAAAATCATTCAGTTAGTGCTACAAGATGCCTGACTCCATCTGTGAGACGCACGTATGCTGATGTCTGTCAGCAAGCCTCTGTCCACCTTGTCAGATTCACACTATTTAAAAAAGCTGTTTCTGATCATTCCCATTCTGTTACATCATGGCATTCAAGTCCTTCTCACAGAGTAGTCTAAGGAACTTTGCGATTCTCCAGTATGATTTTCCCAGGCAGACTGCAAATGCTCTTAACTGACTTAAATAGTGATTGGTTCAGTCAGTGGTCAGGATGAGGATAAAAGCAGCATAGTTAGAGTTTCAGTATTGTCTCTTACTATTATTTGTTTTACGAGGAGGTACAACCTTTGGCTTCTTTGCTAAGAACCTGATTTTTAATCTAACAATTCCCCTCATGGGGCATTGGGTTTCCAGGTATGTTAAATAAACACAGACTTTTATAGCCCTTAGAAATGTCATCTTCTAACAGTAGCAATTTCCTAATTTTCACTAAAGTAATGCTGCCATTCAGTTATGGTAATGCAGCTTATTTAATGTACATTAAGAGTAGGCATAAGTATTTAAGTAAAGTGTTAGATTGCTAGTTTTATTTAGTCATAAATTACAAAATATTTCTGTCTGCTCTATGAAAACATTATTATAAACAAAGCAGGTGTTTTGGGGGTAAGGGAGGAGAACAGCCTTTGCAATAGTATTGAATATGTAATTATATACAGCCTAAAGATATTTGCTCCTTAAGGCATGTAAAGAATTTAGTACCTTAAAACAATTAAAAATTACTCTTATTTATAAAGTAAAAAATGGTCATGACTGAGGTCAGATGATGATTCTGTGAACTAAAGACCTCTTTGATGTGATAGAATCCAAATGCATTCTGATTTAGTTGAAGTGCCTGTTTCTTTGTGTTACAAAGTTTTGCCATGTTGTCCTACTTTCATACAACATTAAATACACAGGATTAAGGTTTTTCCTCAGCTGTGATTGACTCTTACTTTTACAATTGCAAGGGTACTTTAAGTTTCTTTGGATTCCTCTATTTGTCTTGTTTTACAGCTTGCATGCCAGAAAACACATCTGAATTCATGCTTTATCAGTAACTGTTACTTCCAACACACTTTGCTGACCCTCAGTGACCATGACTTGTATAAAACCACTTTCTGAAAAAAATCTATGGATATTTATTCTTTGTACACAAGCACCACTCAGCCATGGCTAAGTAATGATTTTGATGAAGTGTTGGAGAATGGAGTAGTTTACTGCCCTGCCCAAGGTTCTACTCATTCTGATAAAGAACTTCAGTCTTCACAGATAGACAACATTTATGCACAGAGTTGAAATGCTTTGTTTACTGATAAGAGATGAATCCTGCAATAATAACTTTTATAAAGAAAGCAAATAAGCAAATGGAGAGCGTTCTTTTCATGAATTGGAAGAGAAAAAAAGACTGTAATAACAAAGCAGCAATAAAATCTCCTCTGATTTTTGTATACTATGTACAAGAGAAAGACACTGAGCTGGTAGATTGACAGGATGTATCAAAATATCAAAACACTTGACAGTACTTGATAAGAAAAGCCTATTGAGGACATTCATGTTACATCTATGCTTCATTAATGCTTGGGTTTATCCCAGCTGATGATAGCTAGTTCTGGTGATAGCTAGTCTTTGAGCACAGCAGTGGATGACTTGGTGTGCCATTGCATAGTTTCTAGACATTAAATCTCTGAATTTTCATCTGGTTTTGAAATTATGAAAAAATGTAGAGGAAGAGAGAAAAACCCACAATGATATGTAAGATTATTACCTAGTTGAGGTTTCTAATGTTGTATGATATAACTCTGTTACTGTGTTCTTAGTTCTTGTGTTTCTCATGTTTCGGTTCAAGCAGAACATATAAAAGATAAATTTAAGCCACATTCTGACAATTTTGCAGGGTTGTGAGCTAAAACCAATGCATCCTTTCTACTGGGATGGGTACGAAGTTAGGACAGTGGTGAATAATACATTGCCACTGTGTGACAGCACAAGGTAATTGCTTACCTTCTCCCACACAATGTCCTGTTTCCCACAGTAAAAAGTGCCATTTTACAGAAACTTTAGTTTCTGCTCTTCCTATTGCAAGGCAGTCAAAAGTAATGGGAAAAAAATCCCTTAATTTCCTTTAACTTACGCTAAATAGAGAAATAAATATGTTATTTGTATATGTGTGTGTATATATATATATATATACATGTGTATATATATATTATATACACGTGTATATATATATGTGTGTGTATATATATATGTGTGTGTGTGTGTGTATATATATATATATATATATGTACACATTTACCACTGTCTGCTCTTTTTACTGCATATCTTTTTTGGTTATTTTTACCATAACCAGGATTTTTAAGAACTGACATTAATTTTCATATATTCCAATATACAACTTGACATTATGAGCATTATTGATGCTGAATGTGATTGAATATGAACTCTGAACAAAGAATTTAATAGGATAAATACATCGACCCTTCCTACTATTCAGACAGCTGGGGAGAACAAACCCTTGTCCGCATTAAAAACTCCGGTTTTTAAAAGCTGGTGACAATAGGACTTCACAATTAGAAGATTATCCTTATTTTGTATGTTAAAGTACTACGCTCCAACAGAATACTGACTGTTTAATAATTTTGCATTTGCTGTAAAATTCATATCTAAATTTCTTTTGAGCCAAGAATATCCAATATAAATCTGAGGTTTTTCAGTGTAACTTGCTTTTCCCCCCTAACATTTCCACTTTTGTGCAAAAACCAATTCTAAAGCATTCTGAAAACTTTTACAGCCTGGTATATTCAAAATAGAAAATTAGTTTGCAGAGCAAGAATGAATATGGTTAAATCAAAAAGAATAACCTGTAAGTCTGAACAGCACAATTTGCTTTTTGTGAATGTATTTACAAATTATAAAATATGATATTTTGCAATGCTCACAGTTCAATTTGAAAAAAAAAATAGTTTAAAAAGGTGAAAGACTTGAGCAATTTTGGTTTCAAAGCAAAGTGAAGGCAGAATTTAGAGCACTTAAAAATATATGCAAGTGTATTAGCCTGTTGCCAGTCAGGAAAAAACAAAGTACAAACATGTCATCTCTGTGCAGACAGGAGTTATTATTGATGCAAGACTACTTAAATTGTCTGCAACTAAGTCATACAACGTGAAGAAAAGTGATTTCATGTGTTCAGTGCAGCTACTACACTAATAAAAGCTAAATCCTTCTTTTGAAACATGAGAAAAAACAGTTGGAGCTAGCTAGCTGTATGAGAACTGCTGAATCACGGCCTGAACCTCTTATTGACCACCTGAGGTGAGCAATGAGTCAGGCCTGGGAGCACAGGTGAAGACAATTCTCCCGTGCTACCAGGAAGTGTGGAGCCTGTCTGCACTTCTCCTAGATCCCATTTAAGAGCTGACTACCAGCGGGGTAGGAACTGTTTTGGAGATCGCTCCTCTCAGAGTCTTTTCAGTGAGCCCAGGACAAGGGTGAGGTTTCCATCAGTTCTTCTTTAGTGTGATAACCTGTTTAGCCTAACTTTCCTGTATATTTCTTAATTGTAACATATGTATATTGATATTCACTGATTACACAGTAGCTCATCTGGTAGTTACAATTATTCTAGTGTCAGTGAAGCCAGCAGAGTGCTTAACAATTTATTGGGGTTGATTGACCAACCCCTAAGTACTTTTTCAGTGACTAAGATATTTACTTAGACAAAAGACCTTGACTTTTTCAAATCAGTGCAGCATTTCATATTACACTTCAAATAATTTTAGGACAGTATACTTCAATTTCTGTTTGGCCACATCTAAGATGTGTGTGCTTTTGATTCCCAGCAGTGTACGTTATACCTGCAAAGGCATAAACAAAGGTGGCTTGAATTTGATTCGATGAGGCATATATTTCCTAATGATGTAATTAAGAAGGACTGTGGAGATGGACGATAAACCAAATAAATGTGACAGTTTTTGTTGAGAGTGAGAAATAAAATCCATACTGCCTTTAAGTTCTGAATTTGCTGGCAATATTGTGCCTCTGGAAGAAGTTGTAGGAAGTCTGCTATGTGCAGGTCCAAAGAATCAGCTGACAAAACAGAACTTGTTCCCTAATCAGCTATCAAGGCTTTCTTGCACTTAGCTTGATGGGTAGCTGCATCTTTCCATCCATTCAGCTTTTGACCATGAAAACTTTCTGGCATCGGTGCTGTACTTCCAGATGTTGCTGCCCAGAAATTGTTTGTAATTAGATTGTAAACTACCTTGGTCACTCTCAACAACAACAACAAAAAAATAGTGTAACTAATCAGCTAAAATACATAACCAATCCTTTCTATTTTGTTCCTTTTATTTTTCCCCCCCCCCATAAAAATTGCCTCAGATTAAAGGAAATTAAGATAAATTACAGAAAACCAGGATTCATCATTCATCTGATCTATGAAAATGTTACAACAATGCCATGGGGCTTCAAATCCCTTTCATGGAATTTTTTTAGCATTATTTTGGGGCCAATTTTGACTGCACATCAGTGTGGGTCCTTGCATTTCAGTGAAAGAATGCTAATTCATATGAGTTTTGAATGTGGTTTCTTTGAGTAATCCTCACTGCATTTAGGAGAAATAATTCTATTATTGATATTTTATATCAATGTAAACATTCAATTATTTGTAACAGAACTGCAAGAAATACAAATGTTTTCTTTGACCACTGAACGAAATAATTTAACAATAAATTCTATATTAGAATCACCGTAAGAAATCAAAATTTTGTTAGAACTCTGTGCAGTTTCAATCTTTTTTTATTTGTCCAGTGTTTGTTTCCAGGTGATATCCAGTATGAATGCTCAGTGTTTGAAAACTGAGAGCGCTTGTTTCCTTTGAAGTTATTTTAACTCCAGAAGACCTTCAGTGATTTCTTTTAAGCACTGCTGTTCTTCAGTTGGTCTGATGATCATTTCGGAGGTGCATTGCAGTAGGTTCAAAAAACTGGAGGAAGATTTAAGAGAGAAGTTTAAGCTGTCATTTGTCAACAGTGTAAGTAACCAACAACATCACCTGACTTGTGGCTGTCTCAGCAGGTTTAAAAAAGAACTACATTATAAGGGAGAATCTTCTCAGAATCTGATGCTCGTTAGCTGTATCATCAAAGCTTAATTGTACGTACATATAGTAATGACTGCTTCCTACTGAACGTCATTTTTCTAGTGTTCAAACTGAAGCATAAAGCACAATTTGCTCTGTATTAGGTACTTCACAAGCTCTTGTTTGTCTGTCCTTCTTTCTTCCCACTTGACTGTTCATCACTGGTATTTCATCTTCAACCTGCTTCATAACTCATTTTCTGCCATGATTCTGTGCTCTGTGTGTTCAGCTTTTGTCTGGGAATCAGCACATTTACCACATTCAATTCCATTTTACCTTCTGTCCCCAGTCATAAAAGCTGGCCTCTCTGCCTGTTTTTCTGCTGTTTATCATTAAAGCTTTAACATCATGAGCTGAACACAGACATCATTCTGTGTTTTATTACGTTAAAAACTGTAACATAGTATGATGAATATAAAACACTGGGACAGGTTACTTTAGGAAGGATACATGTAAGGAGATGCAAGAACAGTGCATGCATTATGAATGACGTGACAAACAGACCAAGACTTATAATTAAAAGGACATGCCTTACATTCTAATTCAGGTACGTTTTAAAATTATTAAAATAGAGCAAGCTTGCAATTCGCCTGTCAAAATCACTGTTATAAACTAGTGTTCAGCTCTAAGACCAGTCAAGATTTAAGAAATAAATAGTAAAAAAGTGCATGTGTAACAAAATAAAAAGAATAGCTTCTTCCTTTATTGCTGGACTGTTTGGTTTTTTTTTCTCCCTTCAGGAGCTTCGCTATTTGGATAATCTGGACAAACATGTATTGCTTGTCCCTATGTAGAGCTTTCTCTGGATGGCAGATACAGAGAAACACATGCCATAGAAACATGTGTATTTCATTTTCCGTGGATGTCGCATCCTCAAACCTTTCATACAAATTAATTACAAACTGACCTTATGTAGTCAGGGAGTAGTAATTCCTCTTAGAATAATTTTAATGCTTTAATTTTTCATATAATAAATGGGACAGCCCTGCTGCCATTATTAAACATCTGTCAATATTTCTGCACAGGAAACTTGTTTATTTTGGTGAACTGATTCGATATTTTTCTATTTGTTTTTTAAACAGAAGCCAAATGAGCTCTAATTAGTGACTCAAAAAGAAAAAATTGCTAGTATACCTGAAATATTTCACAAAATACACTCTTCTCAAAGAGTCATATTTCATAACTGGGTAATACCTTATCAATACTAATCTTTTTGGCTTGAGATGATGACTGGAGTTCGAGTGGCTTTTAAGAATGCTGTGCTTCACTCACCTAACTTTTGTATCTCCTCTGTTTGAATAGAAAGGCTTTTTTAAAAGTTGGTGGGGTTTTTTTTTTTTGTTTTTTTTTTTTAAGCAAAAACAATCTTGGTTTTCCATGAAAGTAAGAACTGGTTGAAGGATAAAGTGCATCAAATTAAAAACTTACCAAGGTATATCATGATTATATTAGTTACAGCTGAGCACACTAACAGGAAAACGTAATTCATGAAGAACTTGAGCGATGGTTTACGTAACTGTTTAATTCTTCGCCACTTAAATCACCCTAGCTGTTAATACTGTTCTGTTCTCTAAATCTTGTTGCTGGATTTCTGTCATTCTATAAGAGTCATTGCATTTCTGAGCAGGTTAGTGAGCTTGTGAAAGTGGGACTTTAGAAGTATCTACATTCAGCTCTAGGTCTTAGTTCTCTGAGGTCTTTTAGAAGCCTAGTTCTGATGTAACTATTAATATACAAGGTAAATATAAATATTTCATCGCTAACAAGGGAAAATGGCAACTATGTTCCGAGCATTTCTATATCCAAAATGTGAATGGTTGAAGGAAATCACTGAAGTTATGGAAGATACACAAGCTAAGAAGCTGGCCTCTAAACAGAAGCTGTAATGAATATATGAGAGCTTTATTGTATTTTCCTTCTTTGATTGATATAAGTAATGTGCATACTTAGTCAATATTTTAATAGCAGGATCAGTATCTCTGGCACAAATGCTAAATTTAGCATTGGACAGATTTTGAGTGGCCAGGAGGTAGCAGCTGTGACCTCTTGAGAGAGACATCTGCAGGAACATTTGCAAGAGACAGTGCCTCCTATCTTCCTGCCCTCCTGATTTCACATAAGCTGCTTGGCAGCACAGTCCCTCTTAGAGAGATAGCATTTTCCAAATCATACTAGTAGCAAAAATCAGCAAAATTAGGGGCTAATAGCCTCTGTTTCAAGTAGTGTCAAGATGCCATCCATTAGCTGATCAGCACCATCTTGTTACTTTGAACTGCAGTATCTTCTGGCTGTCCAAGAGATTTCCCTTGGCCTTCTTTACCTCTAATTTAGGAAATGAATGTTAAACTTGCACACTGCTTCTATCAGATTGCTAGCCCCTGTTATTATTGATACAGGGACTTTGTGCTTTCAGTACTGTCCGAACACCATCATTATCTCTGTAGCTGTCCTAAATAGAGCTAAGTGTACCAATCATTTTGACTGCAGTGTACACTGAGATTCAAAAACTCTATGGCAACAAACAAAGCAAATGAATATATGTTTTTCACCAAAGAGATGGGGCCCCATTAGTTGTATTTAGACAAAATTGAAAAGAATTAAAACATTAAAGACTGGAAGTTTAATAACTGCTTGAAAGCGCAAGCTAATCAGTGACTGTACCAGAAATGCTCAGTCTTCAGGATACACAACTTTTCTACACTTCACGGATATCTGAAGACTCAAATATCTGAAGACTCAGTAATTCTCAGCTAGATTCAGACAAGCTTAAGCAAGGAATTTAGCAGCTTTATTGGCATAAAATGGTTCCATTATAAGGAGAAAGAGGAAAAATTGGTTTTAAAAAGTGTAAAAACAAGGACTCTGAATTCACAAATTGCATGTTGCAACTGTCTTAATAAGCAGATATTAATGTTTTCCTTTTGATATTAATCTCTTGCTGCATTGTTGCAACAGTTAATTTTACCATTCCCTGTTGCAGACAGGAAGATGAAAAATGGGAGATTTAAGATTGATGTGTTGCTGAGAATGGTGTCATACATCGTCTTGCAGAATTTTCCTCGTTCTGTGTTCTGTCATAGTATAGAAGGGTTTACATTTCTCACTTTCGAATAGGCTTTCTACATTTTAGTGGAAGTGACTGTTCTTTTTTAGAGAAAGGTAATATGAACTTTGCTTAGAAAGTACTGATCAACTGAAGTTGCATCAGCAAATGAACGATTTAAATAATACTGGCAAACTAAACATGTTACATTTATACATTACAAGCGTATCATTATTATTCTGAAATTTTAATACTCACTTCCATAGTGTCTTTTGAAAGGTAGACAACCCAGTATACCAGGTTGAATCCTGCAAATGCCACTGGAAAGAGGATCCTAGAATATTGGTCTATTTTACTTGTGCCTCCAACTGGTGGTGGTGCTGGGGGGGGCTGGTGGAGGAGCAGACACAGGTTGACACTGGGATGCACTGTTTGATATTATGCTTGCTTCAGGAGACTGATCTGCCTGAGATGTTACGGAGTTTACTCGCTTCTTCAGGTTGCAATTGGAGTCAGAATGCTGAGGAGAAAAAAGAGAGAGTTGATTTATGGCTTCAGAAATCTTAAGTTTTCTGCTTTTTACTCTTCTATCTCTTACTCATAGAGCAGAAGACGAATACTCATCCTAACAGTTAGGGGACTATTTTTATTTTATAGTAAAGATTTTTTGTGTATTTCGTGAAATACTCATAGCAAAGTCCAATTATTCTTCAGAGAGTTGTATAACAGTTCTTAGAATTTACCTCTTAGTTGCTAGGCTGACATGTGTGTTCATTATGTACAGCTGTTTTATCTGGGGACCAACTTGCCATTTTTTCCTATGATCACAGAATCATAGAATGACCTGGGTTGAAAAGGACCTCAAAGATCACCTAGATTCAACCTCCCTGCCACACATAGGGTCACCAACCACCAGACCAGGCTGCCCAGAGCCACAACCAGCCTGGCCTTGAATGTCTGCAGGGATTGGGCATCCACAGCCTCCTTGGGCAACCTGTTCCAGTGCTTCACCACCCTCTGAGTGAAAAACTTTCTCCTAATATCTAACCTAAATCTTCCCTGTTGCAGTTTAAAAGAGTTTTACAAGAGCTTGGAGGTCAGAGCTTTCTCCTTGTTAGTAACCATAAGACTTTACTGATGGCTGAGAAAATGCACAAGAATTCTTAAAGCATCATATTGTTTTTTATTGTTTTTGTATGAAGTACTCAGGTTTTCTGACAATAGGGAGCAGTATCAATTCCTTAGATTCTTACAAGCAGTGTAACATTTTGGTTGAGTTGATGTCGGAAGTTAAATCAATAAAAGATGGCAAAACTTATTCCCAGATTGCTGATGAATAATACTGTGTAACATAAACGGTTATTCCTGGGTTTGAATAAGCAGTTCTTTTTGTCAGCAGAAGTATGTAAGTTGCTCCAAAAGTAATGCCCCCTATTTATTTCCATGGAAGCTGCAACAGACACAAAGAAGACAGTACTATTTGACAGAACAAATTTTCAGCTACAGAAGACTATTTTTCAACACAGTCACCATTAGCAATGCATTTTTGCCAGCAATGAACACAAGCCTGAAAGCCACACTTGTAAAAATCAGCACCAGCAGAGATGGCCCACTGTTTCACAGCTTTGATGATGGGCTTCATTCCTAGAATACTGTTGTCCATGCAGTCTTTCATTGTCTCAGATGGAAAATGGAAGGCACACCAAATCCAGACTATATGCTGTATGTGTTGTACAACAGTCCAGTCAAGACTGACAATCTGCTCTACAGTCTTCAGACTGGGGCCTGGTATTACTGTACTGCAAGAGAAATGTTGTCTTCTTCTCAGGCCTGACTTTGGTATTTCAAACCTTCAGCTTAGTCAGCATCATGATGTAGTGATCAGAGTTGATGTTTAACCCAGGTTCCAGAAAATCCAGGAAGGTTATCCGTTCTGAATATGGCTTTACCATGCATGTTACTTCATGAACTGAGGACTGTGTCCTGAACTTTTCTTCAATGAAGAATTCGTGTGTTGCTACACCCCACACTGCCATTTTGACTCCAGTTCATAGAGGTAACATCGTGTTTAGTCACCAATAATGATGTGATCCAGGTTCTGCTCCTTTGTGAACATTCACGGGACCCACCTGACACAAACTTCGCAATATTGCAAGGTTTCCACCATCGTTTCCAACATATTAAAGTCAATATTCAGCTCCATAAGAAGTTCTCTGGTTGTAATCTGTCAGTTTGCATAGATGAGGTGATTCAGACCCTCTTCATTTTGTGGTGTGACAGCTGTGCATGGCCATCCAGAACTTGGCTTATGTTTCATGTCCCTGTTGCAACTGCTAATACACACCATCCACCACTTCACTGAACTCATATTCACTGTTTGGACTCCAAAAATATTTGGTAAGGGTCATTGGGTGCCATTTCTTCCACATGGGGGAATTCAATTCCACACCTTTGCTCCATATGCACTTCCATGTCAGATGCCCTTTTGTCAGACTGCCCTTCCGTTGTCATCTGTCACACAGCAACAAAATGTAGTGGAATACTGGTAGGTGGGAAGGTTCAACATCTACTGTCATCCCATGAACATCTGCCTCTGATGTTGTGGTCTAACATAATAAAATAGGAGGTATTACTTTCAGAGCAGCCTTCATAGATGACTGAATGAAGTTGATGAGGAAAATTTTAGGCAGTGTAAATAATACACAGTACAACAGTGTGTAAGTAAATTTAAGCAGAATAGTAATGTTCAGGTGGTTCAAGATAGCACATCAAAGTCTGCAAAGTTAATTGTTTCTGAGTGATTTAATTACAGTCATTCACTGAAATTATTGTCAGCATTTTAGGGGTTGATCCTGTAGGATATCCGTGCAGGGAAACAGATTTTAGTCAAATAAATGATGGGGTTAGTAGAAGGAAAAGAAACATTTTCTGAAATAGACTGCCTACACATGTACTTGGGCAGAATATCTAGATAAAAGATGAGCGTTATCAGATATTATCCTTTTAACAGTATTAGTGCCAGATTGTGAGAAGAAGTTAACACTGCTATAATGTAATGCTAAGTTCTCCTCAGGGATGGATGGACCAGTATCTGCAGAGATTAGGGAGGATGGATTCCTTACAGCTGAATTTAGTCTACATAAAAGGCAAAGAGAAAGATTTTTGTTTGTTTGTTTTGTTTGTTTTCTTTTTTTTTTTTTTTTTTAGGTATTTTTATATATACGTATATCTTTTAACTATTGCCTCTTTTTACTTGCTATAGCCCTCCCCCTTGCACTACAGATTAAAATGTCCTATTCTGGGTTTGCACCTCTCTGGAATGCAGATATTTGTTTTTATATTTCCCAGTTATACAGCAAGTAACAGCTTTAAATGGAGGATGATCTACAGATGTGTCACAGAAACAGAAAGAGGGTTATCCATTTCCATTTGCGCTAATCATCATAATAATCCCACTCTATAAACAGGCTGACTGAGCTTGGGCCACTGCTTTTCAGTCAAGTTGCTGTTCCATTTTGCTTGTATGCCCTATGTTGAACTCAGCTGTGGGAGTTGTAAGGTAGCTTGTTTTTTGCTTTGCTGCTTTTTCTATGGAGAAGGACTGATTTCTCAAAAGAGAACCATAGACCTTCTCATCTGCAATATTCTGAAATAAGAAGGTGAAATTCTGCTCTGGATCACTCAGGCATGAATCAGAAGTTACTGTGCTGATGTGTTGGAGTTAAAATAGTTGGCAGAGCAGGAGTAGCACAGGGTCAGTGGATTATGTTGAATATTGAACATATTTTAGAATCCAGAAGTAGTAAAACCATTGTGATCCTTTGGATAGGCACTTGAAAAAGGGTAGCCCTGGTCATAATTCTATTTATTTATTAAATTTTATGTGCTTGATATGATTTCACTGGATGATTTCAGAGTAGATAGGAGGGAATACCTGAAGTCAGCTTATATCCTCAGAATTTGGGGAGAGCACTGACTGATTATATGCCTGCTTCAGTGCATTTTTATCAATTGAGTGATATTAATAACTTCTCACTAACTAACTAAAATAATTTATTTCATTATTCAGAAAGGATTTTTACTGTTTCAGTAATGCCACAGTTGTTTTCATTTATTCATTTATTTATTTTTGGCCATGCTCTTCAAGCGCTTCTATAAACTATTAAGAAGGTTCCTAAGTAATTTCTTACATAACATGATCCTGTGCAAGTCCAGAAAATAAGGGTCAAGACTATTTTCTTGTCTACCACAATCCAAGATACAGAAGCCTCAATTTATCTGAAAAGAGTAATTAACATGTTTCTCAATTTGGCAAGTGTCAGCAAACCAATTACTGATGTAGAACAACCCATACTTTTCATGAGAATTTACTATTAAACCAAGAGGAAGAGGCAGCAAGAAGAGATCGCATCGTTTCTTACAGCATTTGCCTTCTGAACAGCAGCTGCAACAATTTGTCTACTATTTTTAGATTTCCCTGTTCCGTTTGACAACAAATCCTACCTACAATGACATTGTGACAATTTGGAAAACACAAAATACAAAGAGCAGAAATGAGTACTCTATTCCTGTTCCTGTTTTGCACACAGTCACTTAAATAGTGAAGACTGTTTTACAAACAGCATAAGCAAGAACAGGAAGCCTGAGACATGGCACACTGGATTATAATAAAAGAAAGCATTTTTATTCATTTATTGAAACTTGATACAGAGGAGTACTCTTGCACTTACACAGAATGCTAGCCCCATCAGGCAATTGAACTTGTCACTGAATATGACTGCCTAGTGACACAGTACAGCTTGCAAAATTGATGCTTAATGTGAGGTACCATAAAACTGGACAGAGATTGGTAGGCATACAATCTAGTAATGTATTGTCCAGATTCTACTGAGGTTTTGCAACTCAGCTACCTGATGCCCTAAAAAACTCACAAAGTATCCTTGGCTGTAAAGATGTTGCTGATCTCTCACAGCTCTCATCAATATCACTAGAATTTGCTGCTGCTCAGAACATCTTAGGAGGCTCTAAGCAAATTGTTCTGCTTCTAGATATAAAAAATACAGTATATATAACTTTAAACTAAATGCATTTTTTTTCTCTTTTCTATAGATGCTAATTGTGGTGAATGCTCTAAAGATAGTTCTAAAATATATATATTTTTAATTCTCTACTGTTCTCTTTTGTTTATACTGCAGATGTGTATTCTTACTTTGAGTTTAGCATAGGATCTAGCAGTGGAATATCATACATATGTACGTGAATACTGACTATTTTAAACATATGTATGCCCTTACTTCTCTCTTTTCTGCACTTACATCCCTTTCTGCTGTGACTACCATGCACTAAGAAAGAGTTTTCATAGAATAAACTCTGAATGCTTAGAAAAAAAAGGACAACTCTCCTTTTCTTTGAAATTTATTGAATTAGGACTATTGAACTATTATATATATTGAACAAAACTACTTTGCTGGCATCATAATAGAAAAAAAAAAACAAAAAAACACATAAAAACGCTAGGAT